TGACCACTGCACCTGTATTAACCTTGCCGACAGGTTCCGGTGGGCTCATAGTGTATTGTGATGCCTCCAGAGTTGGTCTCGGTTGTGTTCTTATGCAAAATGGAAAAGTTATTTCTTATGCTTCTAGGCAGTTAAAGAATCATGAAAAGAACTACCCCACACACGACTTGGAGCTTGCAGCAGTGGTGTTTGCATTAAAAATATGGCGACACTACCTTTATGGCGAGCATTCTGAAGTGTTTACAAATCACAAAAGCCTCCAGTACATTTTCAAGCAAAAAGAATTAAATTTGAGACAGAGAAGGTGGCTCGAGCTATTGAAAGATTATGACATCAATATCCTTTATTACCCGGGCAAAGCTAATATGGTAGCAGATGCACTTAGTAGGAAGTCAATGGGTGTCTTGGCCCATCTTGCAGTACAAAGGCGATCTTTGGGTCGAGAAATTCAAAAACTAGCAAATGATGGAATTAGATTGGATGAGACCGAAGAAGGAGGTATAACTGCTTATGCCTTAGCGCAATCCTCCCTTGTTGCGCATGTTAAGCCTAAGCAAGATGAAGATCCATACTTAGTGAAGTTAAAAGAGGAGTCAGAAATAAAGAAATCACCGCTTTCACTCTACGAAGTGACGGAGTTTTGAAGTTGAATGATCGGTTATGTGTGCCCGATGTACATGGTCTTAGGAAGGCCATATGGAAGAAACTCACAGTTCAAGGTACTCTATCCACCCAGGTGCTACCAAAATGTATCTAGATTTGAAAGAGTTGTATTGGTGGAAAGTCATGAAGAAACAAGTAACAGATCATGTGGCTAAATGTTTAAATTGCCAGCAAGTCAAAGCCGAGCATCAGTGGCCTAGTGGCCTAGCTCAAGATATAGAGATACCACAGTGGAAGTGGGAGATGATTAATATGGATTTCGTAGTAGGTCTACCTCGCACGTACCATAAGCATGATTCAATTTGGGTTATTATAGAATGACTGACAAAGTCCGCGCATTTCCTTCCAGTAAAGACGATAAATTCCGCAGAGCAGTATGCGCAGTTGTACATCAAAGAAATAGTCCGATATCATGGTACTCCAGTTTCAATCATATCTGACAGAGGCCCTCAGTTCACGGCGCATTTTTGGCAGGCATTTCAGAAAAGATTAGGTACCAAGGTCAATTTAAGCACTGCTTTCCATCCACAGACCGACAGCTAGGCAGAAAGGACCATTCAGACACTCGAAGATATGCTGCGGGCATGTGTTATAGATTTTGGAGGTAATTGGGATGATCACTTGCCACTTATAGAATTTGCGTACAATAACAGCTATCAGGCCAACATCGGTATGGCTCCTTATGAAGCGTTGTATGGGCGGAGATGTAGGTCTCCAGTGGGTTGGTTTGAACCAGCAGAGGTGTCGTTGATTGGTCCAGAGTTTGTTTGTGAGGCCTTAGGGAAAGTTCAGCTAATCAGAGAAAGACTGAAAGCACCTCAGAGTCGTCAAAAGTCTTATTCTGACAAGAGGCATCGTGAGTTAGAGTTCATGGTTGGTGATAAGGTGTTTTTGAAAGTTTTCACCAATGAAAGGAGTTATGAGGTTTGGTAAGAAAGGGAAACTTAGCCCTAGATTTATCGGACCTTATGAAATTCTAGAAAAGAAAGGAAATGTGGCTTATGAGCTAGCGCTACCCGTTGATTGTCCTCTGTTCATCCTGTCTTTCATGTGTCTATGCTTAGAAAATACATCCATGATTAGTCGCATATAATACCTGCTGATACCATAGAAATTAAAGAAGGCCTGACTTATGAAGAGGTACCTATAGAAATTCTCGATAGGCAAGTAAGAAAGTTGAGAACAATACATATAGCATCAGTAAAAGTTTTGTGGAGTAATCATGATTCAAAAGAGGCTACGTGGGAGGTTGAGGAAGATATGAGGAAGAAATACCCATATTTATTTGAGGAAAAATGTATGTGAACCTAAGTTTGGTTTGACATATATTTTATTTATTAAATACAAGTTAGCATGTGTTTATGTCCTTGCTAGATTATACTTAGTTGTTGAAGTAATTTAGTTTTGTCAGAGTATATTTAATTCATTAAAGTTATTTACTTTTTGTAAAGTGTTGTGCTTTAGAATTTGGTTGGTTATAGTGGTACCTCCTTGCCGGAGTGTGCGTAACTGGTTTATGAGCGGTGTATGGTGCCTATGAATGGCCTCTTACGGTATATTTGGTTGTTGTTGGTGTAGTTGTGGTATTTCTGGCAGGGATATTTTTTTGGATAGTCCAATTTACAAGGGAAACTCTGCCGAAATTTTTGAAAATTTAGGGAGTTAGCCAAAATTTTGAATTCCTTGGAGGAGTGAGTAATGCTAAGAAAACTTAAGAGGTTCAAGGACCTAAGGAATGATTGTTATCTTAAGAATAAGGCCCTAGCAACATTCGAGGACGAATGTTTTTAAGGAGGGAAGAGTGTAACACTCCTCAAATCTATAAAAGTTTCAAGACCCGCTAAATATGGAATTTAATTTTTTATAATCTTAAATTATACTCCTATTACGGATTAAAACCCTTGTGATTGATTTTGAGTTACTTCTTTATTTATAAATAATTGGATATACAATTAGGGGAATATTATTAATTTTAATATTTTATATTATTAATAGTGGGTATAGTTAAATACTAGCTAAGTCAAAAAAAAAAAGACAACTAAAATTGGGCCTAAGGCCCATAGAGTAGTCTGTACGTAGGGAAGTAAAGGCTTAAGCCTTGGACTAAAGGGAAATAAAAGGGCTCAAAAAGCCTTAGACAAGTCAGGCACAAAACAGAAGGCTTAAACTTCTGTCATTCACGTAACAATAAGAAACAGAGGCAGCAAGTTTGTTTACGAAGACAAGAAATTATAGGGTTCTTTAAAAATCACTAATTCTTGAACTCAGGTATATAAAATTTCTTATTTTCAATTATCCTAAAGTAGTAGTAGGTAAGAATCGACTAGTCAATTCCCTTCTTTCTCTATAGCAACAATAATTTCTATGTTTAGGTGTGAAACCTTAAAATTAATTAAAATACACTTATTGTTGTAGAATCAATTATTTGACGGGTATAAATTGGACTGGGGTCTACGTGTTGGTTCAAGGAGTTTTGAGGTGAGTTGATATAACCCTTTATTAAAGTGGTTTAACTCACAAAAACACGCATACAAGTGTTCGATGAATTGATTAAAAGAGTTTATATTTACTTAATTGGAGTGGGTGAGTACCTATTAGCTTAGAATTATTTTAGTGCTTAAATTGTATACATCAAAAGATTCTACGATACTTAGTTACTCTAATGAACATGCATGTCCTATAGATAAATACCATATCTTTGGCGTATTTTCTTGTAATGCAGAACTAATGAATGAATGCAATTGAATGGCAGTACTTCTTGCAACATCTATCAAGAAACTAATATAAATATTGCAAAAATTAGAAATTCCCAAAATCTTGTACTTTGATTCATTATTTGAAGGTGTAGAGCTGTTACGTTGCTGCGTGCGTGTTGTGGAGATTGTAAATTTTCATATTTTTGTGTAATTTTTATAGGCCATTTTCATATTGAAAAAGAAAATTTCATGAAGAAGCAAGAATCTTTAGAAATACTTTTGAATGTTTATTTCATTCTTATGCCATACCTTACATTTAAGGATTCCAGAATGAGTATGTTTGAAAGATTTAGACTTGAAATGTCACAAGAAGAGTTTTAGAAAGAAAAAGATTTTTTGGAGTATCCTTTATTCTGAGAAGGGGTCATCGTCCAGGCCGAGGGTCCAGACCAAGGCGTTGACTTCCAGAAACTACTTGTGCCAAAGTAGGGAGCACACGAGCCGAGTGCCTCGTTGTTGAGAATTTACTTAGCCATGCTAAGGTATGATATATGAGCGCTGAGAACCATGAAGCGAGTGACACCTCGTGGATTGGCCCTATTCGATCAGGTTGGGATCGAACCCGTGCCGATCACACGGTGACTGAGACAGAATTAAGTCAGGATAGTTGGAACTCCCAAAGTATAAAGTGAAGTATTTTTTTTAAGAAAGAAAAAGAAAAGAATTTCTTTTAGAATATTCATAAACTGCTATTATGCAATTATTTAGTATTATTCTTTTAAGCCTTATGTTTTACATGCATTTAGAACCTTTGCTCGTAATAATGTTATTAAAGTTTCGCCCCCTGTTGTTGAGACTCACTGAGTACAATGGATGGTACTGACGTTCTCTTTTGGGAAGCTACGTTGGTCTGCGGTACAACGTAGGAACCGGTTTTACAGGCGAGCAGGCTACTGGTTAGGACTTCCTTCTCTTCCAGTGCTATTGGTGAGCTCCACTTTTGTTCGTGGAGTGTTCCGTAGAGTCATCTTTATTTAGTTATTTCTTTGTTTACTTAGGGAACTGTCCAGGAAATCTTATGTCCTGAGCAGTGCGTCAGTTTATCAGTAGAGGCTTCATAGACATAGTCATTGGGTTGAGATTCAGATGTTTTTTTTTTAATAACTTAGCAGTAATTCAGTAGTTACTACGAATAAAGTGTTGGAGTTGATTTATTTAAATATTTGAATTAATCAAAAGTATTTGGTTAGAGTATTGGCTCTTTGCATATAAAGTTTGGAGCTATAATAGATTTGATAAGCAGAGATGGTTCGCTCGGTCATGTTTAGTGACCGAGTGCCGGTCTCGGCTTGTTCAGAAAATGGGTCGTGACAGTCAGCTTGAACCTTCATCCTTTGTTGAGCTTGAGCCAAATGAGACTTTAAATTTCTGAGAGTGGATTCCCTAGCTTGCAAACTTCTGTCCACCGAGTCAAGCCGAGAATCAAATGGCATATATGGAACAAAGGGAGGAGGTGTCTGTCCATAGAGGATCTAATAGGAAGTTGATTGTTACACCACCATTCTGCCAAAGGCAACCATTTGCACCACTCTTTTGGTCTATATGCTACCATACATCTCAGGTAGCACTCGAGGCACCTATTCACAACCTCCGTTTGGTATCACTCTGAGTGTGATAGGCTGAAGACATGTGGAGATTGACTTGCTGCAACTTAAAGAACTCTTGCCAGAACTTACTGAGAAAGATAACATCCCTATCAGAGACGATTGACTGAGGTAACCTATGCAGCCCAAAAAAAAACCATCCATAATAAGTCGGTCCACATTCAAAGTTGTATAAGGATGTTTCAAGCTGAGGAAATGAGCATATTTGCTCAGTCTGTTCACAACTACAAAAATCACAGACATTCCATGTGAAGGAGGAAGGCCTTCAATGAAGTCCATGGAAATATATTGCCATACTCTGTCATACTATAGGGAGAGGTTGGAGGAGGCCAGGAGAAGCCACAGTTTCATTCTTACACATTTGGCAAGTGTCACAAGACCGTATATATACACAAACACCTGCTTCATGCCTTTGCAGTAGAAGAATTGTTTTAGCCTATTGTAAGTTGCTTGAACCCCAGAATGGCCTCCAAAGGAACTACTATGGTGCAAATTCAACAGATCCCGCCTTAACACAACATCTCTGCCTATAATAACCTTTCCCTTTCTAATCAGTACATCTCCTTTCAGTTGATAAGGAAGTTGGCTTCAGGATCTAACCTCAGGTCATGGATAATCTTCACCAGCTTACTGTCAAATGCCCAAGAAGCTACGATTCTAGGCCATAGCTGAGTACTGACACCAGTCAAACTACAAACATTGAATCTGCTCAATACCTTCTTGTTCTCTTCTAGATAAAGCATCAACCACTAAGTTTTCTTTTCCATTTTTATACTGAATACTATAGTCATACCCTAGCATCTTTACTAACCACTTCTGTTGACTAGGGGTGGTAATTCTCTGTTCGATCAAGTACTTTAAACTATGATGATGTTTTAATGTTGAAATGTCTTCTAATCAAATAGGTTCTTCATTTCCGCACCGCTGTAATGATAGCTAAAAGCTCCCTTTCATATACAGATAAAGCCTGATTCCTTAGAGATATAGCTTTATTGAAGAAAGCATTTGGTCTGCCCAACTACATAAGCACAACTCCCAATCCTCCTCCTGAAGCATCAGATTCTATAATGAAATCTTGAGAGAAATCAGGTAATACCAGCACAAGTGCTGAGGTTATAGCCTCCTTCAGAGCCCTAAAAGCAGCTACAGCTTCTTCTGACCACTGAAATGATTCCTTCTTTAACATTTCAGTTAGTGGTCTAGCAATAAGACCATACCCCTTAATAAATCTTCTATAATAGCCAGTTAGCCCCAAAAATCCCCTCAAAGCCTTGATAGTCTTGGCCTTTGGCCAGTCTAACTGCAGAAACCTTTTGAGGATCCATTGACACTCCCTCTAGTGATATTATATGACCTAAATAATGTCAAGAACAAAGAAAGCATGAGAGAAATTGAAGAATGACTATCTCCATTACTTCATTCAAATACATCATATACATTGGTATTTATACACAAGAGAAAATATCCTACACTAAATGTAAATCCTACAAAATATTCTTCATATATTCTACAACTAATGCTACACAATATTCTACACTAAATGTAGAATATCCCTAATAATATCCCATATATTCACCATATCGAGAATGTATTAATGTAGATATTCTACAATCTATCCATTATGCTAACATCCCCCCTCAAATTGATGCTGGTGGATCGAAAAGCATCAATTTGCCTACTAGAAACTGATGACGCTGTCGTGCCATTGATTTTGTAAACACATCAGCTATTTGAAGATCACTGGATACATGTGGAAGAGTAATAACTCTTCTATCTACAGCTTCTCTTATAGAATGACAATCCACTTCAATATGCTTGGTTCTTTCGTGATAAACTGGATTGGTTGCAATCTGAATGGCACTTGTGTTATCAGCATGGAGAGGAGTAGGATTAGATTGAGGAAATCCAATTTCTGCAAGTAAACCACGAAGCCAAATAATTTCGGAGCAAGCAGTCGACATTGCTCGATATTCAGACTCCGTTGAAGATTTTGAAACACGATCTTGCTTCTTGCTCTTCCAAGATATCAAAGAATCTCCGAGAAACATGCACCATCCCGTGACGGAGCGGCGAGTATCAGGACATCCAGCCCAATCAGAATCACTAAATGCATTAAGCTGAATAGGAGAACCACTAGGAAAGAATAATCCACGAGTTGATGTTCCTGAGAGATATCGAATGATGCGACGAACTGCCACCAAATGTAGGTGACGGGGAGTCTGCATAAATTGACTGACTTGTTGAACTGCAAAAGAGATATCAGGCCGAGTAATAGTAAGATAATTTAGGCTCCCAACTAATTGTCGAAACAAAGTTGGATCAGGAAGAAGATCCCCTTCATCGCGACGATACTTTACATTCAATTCCAATGGAGTATCAACAGAGGAAGATTCTTGAAGACCAGCCAAAGCAATCAAATCCTGAGTATATTTGTGCTGGTTTAAGAACACACCTAAAGAATTATAATGAACTTCCAACCCCAAGAAATATGTTAGAGTACCAAGATCTTTCATGTGAAAAGAATCCTTAAGCTGTTGTTGGAGGCTAGTGATTAATAAAGAATCAGTTCCTGTTATAATGATGTCATCCACATATACCAGAAGAAGAACACAACCTGTAGATGTTTTTCGAAGAAACAAAGATGAGTCATATTTACTTTGTTCAAAAGAGAAGTGAAGCAAAGTAGATCGAAACTTGTCAAACCAAGCTCTGGGAGCTTGTTTTAATCCATACAAAGACCGCTTCAACTTGCAAACATCTGATGTAGGTGATGAAAACAAACCAGGTGGGGGTTTCATATAAATATCTTCTTTCAGATCACCATGGAGAAAAGCATTTTTTACATCCATTTGATGAAGAGGCCAATTCTGTGAGGCAGCAATGGCAATAATAGTTCGCACCGTAGTCATTTTTGCTACTGGTGCAAAAGTCTCCTCATAATCCACACCATACTCTTGTTTGTTACCAAGAACAACCAAGCGAGCTTTGTACCGATCTAGAGTTCCATCAGAATGAAGTTTAATTGAATAAACCCATTTACATCCAATTGGGCGGACATTTAAAGGACATGAAACAATGTCCCATGTGTTATTTTCTTTAAGAGCCAAAAGTTCTTCCTCCATTGCTTTCTGCCAACATTCATGCTTGCAAACTTGTGAGTAACAAGTTGGAATAGAAATAGTGGATAAAGTAGATGAAAAACCATACCAATTAGGAGTATTTCGTTCTCTGGTAGATCGCCGAGTAGGCTCAAGAGGAGCAGGCCTTGAAGATATCTCATATTCTGGTTGTGGAGCAGTCTCAGGTGGCGGATCAGTTTCGCAATGGAGTAAAGTTGGGCGACGTCGTTCATACACATATCCGGGTTTGAACCGTTTAGAAGAAGATGACAAATCCTCAAAAGTAGGAAGAAGAGGAGAAACAGAAGTTGACTCAACATGAGTGGGAAAGAAATATTGATTCTCAAAGAAAACAACATTTCTGGAAATACGAAATTTGTCGGAACTTGGATCATAGCAAATAAACCCTTTCTGCGAAGTACTATAACCCATAAAAGCACATTTAGCAGACTGAGCAGAAAGTTTATTGCGTTGAAAAGGAGGCAGATGCACAAAACAAACACAACCAAATGTATGAAAATTATGATAGCTAGGATTATGGTGATAAAGACGATAATATGGAGACTCAAGATTTAACACTTTAGATGGCAGTCTATTAATTAAATAGACAGCAGTAGACAAAGCTTCCACCCAGTATTTAGATGGGACAGAGGACTCAATCAATAAAGTACGAGTTACATCTAAAAGATGACGATTTTTACGCTCAGCAACCCCATTTTGTTGTGGTGTATATGGACAAGAGCGTTGTGAGACGATTCCTTTCTCAAGCAAGAAATTATTGAATTCATGAGACATATATTCTCCACCAGAATCAGATCTTAATATTTTGATGCATGTAGAAAATTGAGTCTCAATGTAAGCCAAAAATGTCTTGAATATGGAAAATACCTCAGATTTGGAACGAAGAAAATACACCCATGTAAACCGACTATAATCATCTATGAATGTCACAAAGTACTTGAAATGAGCATGAGAAATAATTGGTGAAATGCCCCAAACATCACTGTGAATGACATCAAAACACTTTTTAGCACGACTACCAAAATTAGGAAAAGGAAGAGTTTTACTTTTGCCTAATTTACAAGTAGAACAATCAAATGAAGCAGCTAAAAGCTGATTTTTATTTCCCAATAAACCAGAATTTGATAAATGAGACAACACTATAGAATTTGGATGTCCAAGACGCTTATGCCAAACCTCCGTTTTACTAGCTGTAGAAGTACAAGCAAAAGACAGAACACGAGGAATGGAAAAACGTATAGGAAACAATCTTCCAACTTTAGGCCCCTTCGCGATTATCGTCCCCGACACCTGATCCTGCACAAGGCAACCATTACGAGAAAAATTCACATCACAATTATTATCTACCAATTGGCCAACTGAAATAAGACTAGTTGAGAGTTTTGGTGATACAAAAACATTCTTGAAAGTTTGAGTAATATCCCCAACCTTGGTAATGGGTAAATTACTACCATTCGCAATCTGAATTTGTGATGGACCATGATAGTCACGTACATTTTTTAGCATGCTAGTTGAGTTTGTCATATGATTGGAAGCGCCAGAATCAACAAGCCAAAAAATAGATGTAATATCGTTACCTTGTAGCCTCAAAGCTGAAAAGGCTGACACAATCATTTGTTGTACCATTTCAGGAGTAAGAACTTGTCCAACTGTTGGAATAGCAAACTGGTTGCTAGTTCCAGTTGAAGATGAGTGATCATCAGTCGAACCATTTATCCCAGCTTGAAAAGCATTGATCTTACGGTTTTGAGGACGCGTGGGACACTCTTTGGTAATATGCCCGTGCTGCTTACAATAATTGCAGAACTTCTTACTACAATTGCTAGCATTATGACCATATTCTTTGCAACTGTAGCATTGTATGGTGCTCATATCCCTGCCCTTTCTTTTTCCTTGAGCAGCAAATGCAACAGTATGAACACTTTCTTGCTTGAAAGCATTTTATGTGAAAAGACGCTGATCTTCACGAAGTAATTCCCTAAAACAAACATCCAAGGAGGGAGGCGGGTCACGATTCATTAAGTTAGAGCGAACACTCTCAAAATCAGATCGCAATTTCATCAAAAATTGGTCTCGCTTGCTTTGCTCATGAACTGCTTGAATTATAGATAGAGATTCAGCAGGTATTTTAGCATAAACAATATCAGTAAATTCAGCCCATAAGTTGAAATCCAGAAAAATAATCCCGAACAGAGAGACCTCCTTGAGAGTAATTAGCGATTTCGTGCTCTAGCTGAAATCGTCTTGCGCTATTGTCTTGGTTGTAAACCTTTTTTAAATAATCCCACATGGCCTTTGCAGTCTTGTACGACCTGAGATTAAGAACAATAAGAGGGTCAATTGACCCTAAAATCCATGTCATCACCCGAGCATCTTTGACCTTCCACTGACCTAACTTTGTAAGATCAGTAGGAGCAGGATCACTTCCATCTATATGGCCCCATAATTCTTTTCCCGTGACAAATAATTGAAACTGAAATTCCCAAGCAGAATAATTTTTCCCAGTGAAACGAACACTGAAGGACTCAAACTGATGTGAAGTCATGTTTTTGAATAGAGAAAAACACAATGATACGGAAAAAAAATAGCTAGAATAACCAAGATCAAGATTAAGACCAAGACTAAAAGCCCTAGATGCTTAGGACTGCCTGTTGACGAAAAATCAAGAGAACCAAGAGAACTAAACAAAGAAATATATATATATATATATATATATATATATATATATATATATATATATTTTAAAAGGAACCACAGATAAAAGACACTAAGAATCAAAACTATGAAAAGAAGGCTCTGATACCATGTCAAGAACAAAGAAAGCATGAGAGAAATTGAAGAATGACTATCTCCATTACTTGATTCAANAGAATGACTATCTCCATTACTTCATTCAAATACATCACATACATTGGTATTTATACACAAGAGAAAATATCCTACACTAAATGTAAATCCTACAAAATATTCTTCATATATTCTACAACTAATGCTACACAATATTCTACACTAAATGTAGAATATCCCTAATAATATCTCATATATT